ATGGGCTCAAAGAATGCTTATTCTTTTTGAACAATTAAAGTTGGTTTACGTGCTATTTTCAGTTGCACCTGAACCTACTCCAACAGTGTTCTCTCCGTTTGGTGCTACAAAATGTAATCATGAACCTGATTACACTCCGGGTAAAGAATCGAGAGAAAGCAGTCCTGAAATAGATTACATTCCAGGTCAAGAACCGGGTGTAACTCTGACTCAATTTAGAAATGACAATGCGGCAGCCAGAGGATACCTACTGTCACAAATGAATGACGAATTGTTCGACATCTATGTCAAACAAGATTCGGCAAAAGTCATTTGGGAATCACTGTCAGAAAAGTACGGCGCCAATGGAAATGAAAATCAAAGTGTCAGAACCGTCTACAACGAAAGGAGTAGAAAAATCAAGAAGTTTAAAGGAAGGTGTTTTGCGTGCAGAAAGCAAGGACACCGAGCACACCAGTGCTACCATCACAAGGGCAAAACCAGCAAAAGTCAATCTGATAGAACAAGATGAGTATTGAGTCTCTTTAAATAAATAGTTATTTTGAGTAACTATTTTTGCTCTGGTTCTAAGGGTTCGCATGAAGTATGGTTATCTTAGTACTGAATTCTAGTTGAGCAGTCTAGATTTTGATTACTTAGTAGTACTTATTTCTTTGGTGTTTTGAATACTAATGACATTGATTGAAATAATTCGTGCATAGATATTGCTCAAATCTTTTACCAAAATTATTTGTATAAAAATAAGAGCATATATCATAGGCTTCAATTGTAATTTAGTGAGAACATAGAAAAGTCATCATTCTTGAACACTCTGTCTAGGAAGATGGTTTTTAAGTAAACTTCGGTTTCACCACTCGACCTGGGAGTTTTTAAGAAGTAGGGTGTTGATCATGCAGGCTAGTTAGAGCGCCACTTTATCTTTACCTGAAATGAGGTTGACTTTCATATGTTGCTAATACAATCAAAGCCTTGCAATAGAAGTTGTTGAAGTACTGCAATAGTAATATTGATTTGCATCCTATGAATGCTTTATATGAGTTTTAAATTCCTTAAGGGAAGGAAAAACTGTGCTAGTGGCAATTCTGAAGTCTCATTGTTGAGAGACATTCCGAATAAATATGAACTCAAACATATTCCTAGTTAAAGGGTAATTGTGATCAATTGAGATAACCAAGTTTGTTGAAATATATTCAACTGTTGAGCATGTATCAGGCAAAGTGCGAAGCTTCTATAATGCTACACAAAGCAAATCGGCAAAACTCAGTCTACAAAGGAGCTAAAATTGGGCACCAAATATCAGTCTGGGTAAGATATCAAATACGTTTGACAAAATTATTTGTAAGTGTTGCATTGTGGGGGTAATAAACTCCTTATATTTTCATCAAAGTTCTTTGTGGTATTGAGAATAATGATGAAAGAGAATGTTTCATGTTAAACATGAAAATCTCAAGGGATTATTTACGAGTAAACGAAGTACTCGTCAAAATGCATGTAAGTTTGGTCAAAAGAATCAACTTACTTGAGGGCTAATTATGATGATTAGTCGTTGACTCATTGGAAGGACTTGAAGTCCAAGTGGTAATGAATTCGTGGTGAATCCCACTTCTGTGGTCAAACGAAGCCATGAAAAGAGTTACAAAATAGTACACTAGTTGGTCATTCCGACAGTGTGTGTACTTGTGAGGTTGAGCTACAGCTCTTAATGAATTCATAACTCTTTGAGAAAGGGTGGTTTTATTGAGACAAACCTAATGAATTCACCGCATGTGAGGTTGAGCTACAGCTCTTAATGAATTCATAACTCTTTGAGAAAGGGTGGTTTTGTTGAGACAAACCTAATGAATTCACCGCATAATGACATGAGTACAAAGTGCTCTTGATGTCTTATACTCAATTGGGATGGTCTATGTTGAGATAGACCTAAAAGAGATCCCTAACTTGAGTAGAAAAGGGCTAACCGCCTCTTATGAAAGATAATGGGATTATCCCAAGAAGCTGAGTGGCTAAGAAACATGGAGATAACCGTGTAATTGTGGGAGTGTCCAACACCTTCACCACATTGTGATTCACAAACTGTCATTTGTGTTGCGCAAAACAATGTCTACTATGGGAAACGTAGACACATAAGAGTCAGACATGAGTCTGTACGGCAGCTAATAATATATGGGGTAATCACAATGATTTTTGTGAGATCTGAAAGGAAAATTGCAGATCATTTCACAAAGGGCCTAAACAGAAAGGCCGTCCTTGACGCATCAAGGGAAATGGGTATGGGACCCATAAATACTCTGTAGCCGATCATGGTGGTCTGCGATGAGGTAGACTTGACAGAGTTGAAGGTCTATCCTAGAATAGACCTAACAGGGGATATCTCAGGGTCGTGAGTATGACCTCATGAGATTCAAGGCGACCAAAGCAAATTAAGTGCGTTGAGTTCAAACTTTGTCTATTCGATGAGTTCAAGATCAAATTCACTCCCGTTTAGAGAAGTATTTAATGTCACTATATGACAGTTCAAGTTTTATACACTGGCATGAAAATTTGTTTTGATCGTCATCAGGCAATGACAGCATCAGCCTAAATCCCTTTAATGGTGGGGGATTGTTGGGAGCATTTAAAAGTCTGTTTTGTGATAGACTTTGACAGGATAGAAGTCCATATTTGAGACAGACGTAACATTCTTTAATATTAAGGGTGTTCATAAGAAGTCAAAGAGTTTGACTTTTGTAGAACCTGCTTTTTGAGTTGATGTGTGTGTGCATTCGAGTTCAAAATTTATCTAATCGGTGAACTCAAGATTAACATCACTCCCGGGAAGAAAATTACTCAGTGTCACTACGTGTCAGTTCAAGTTCTCAAACACTGACATTAAGATCAACTCATTTGTATTGCTCAGACCTTACTTATTTTCCTTTCCTCTTTAAGTTTGTGGGGGATTGTTGGGAAAAATAAAGATGAAAGCATTTAATGTTGGTCCATGTCCACCTACACCCCTTTGACTTTGTCATTGGAATAAGAAATGGAGAATCCATTTCATTTCATGGGCGCACAGTGCGCTCCTTTGTAAGGAGTAGCGCCTTTGGCGCTAATGTGTGGACAACACACTGTGTCCGTTATGTGGGTGGGATGGAGGGGCTGCTTACTATAAATAGCAGCTCCGAACATCGTTTCAAAACACACCTTGAATTCGAGTCATTTATTCTATTCTCCTTCTCCCTCCTTTCGTCTGAGCAATAGTGAGGTTCGCCTACGTGATTGCTAGTGCAAGCTATCCGTAGTAGGTCTGTGTAGCCTGTCGAAAGCGTGCCAGGATTCTAACTACACCGTTACCGGGCAAATAACGCTTTTAAGGTAGTGTTATTGTAACACGACACAGATTTCCTTTCAACCATACACCAATAGTGTTCGTGCTTCGTAAAACGCGAAAGCATTGCAACTCTGACCGGCATGCACCTTCCCACATCTATGACAAGGAGATGTCTCGGCTTGATTCCCTTGCTCCATCCGGTTGGGCACTTGAGTCGAAGATGACCCACTCTTGGCTTGAAAACTCGGCCGTGGCTTCTTGAAAGTGGAACAGCCTCCAATCTCGGTCCTTTTCCTCGCTTGCTCATAAGACCCTCGCTGGAGCTGTTGGACACGGTACAGATCCGCGGCACTCAGATAAGCATCCTTAAGAGAACTCGGCCTACTCACTGTCAAAGCTTTTCGTGCCTCATAATTCAAGCCGGCAACGAATCTCTCGACATTAGTGAGCTCCGTAGGCACAAGCATCCGAGCAAAGCGTGCCAACTCCAAAAACTTCTTGTGGTACTCGACCACAGACAGATATCCTTGCTGCAGGTGGAGGAACTCCTCGTACATGGCGGGTCGCACATGTGCTGGGTAAAACCTCTCGCGCATCCTATCCTTAAGCGCAGACCAACCGAACTCAGGCTCTTCAAGGAAGGTCGGACCCTCATGGACCCACCACAGATCAGCTTCATGGCAGAAGTAGAACGTTGCTAGTTCTACCCTTCTCTCTGCCGGACAACCCACGACCGTGAAGATCTTGTCAAACACTCTCATCCATTCCTCCAAAACCACCGGGTCTTCTTCACCCGCGAAGGTCGGCGGCCTGTGACCTGACACCAAACGGCCCATATCCCTGTGCCCAGCAGGTTGAGGAGGTGGCACGGGGTGGTTGTTGTTCAGCAAAGCCTCGCTAAGCGCCTGCATCGTCTGCGTCAGCTGCTGGAGGTTCTGAGCGAGCTGCTCATTCGTCGGGGTCTCCGGGGTACGAGCTCGTGGACGAGGAGGCATCGCAGACTTCTACAACAACAACACGGTAACCAAAGAGACCACAAGCAAGTAAATAACTGAAAGCAACACTCAGCTCACCGCGCAACCTAGAGTCCTAAGCCTAACACTTAGATTCTTAAGGTCACTTAAAGGTCTCAAACCATACTTAACCACTTAGAAGTCTAGACTTTACTCTCATAGGCTCAAACCTAGGCTCTGATACCAACTGTAACACCCCCTAAAACCGTGCTATTTAAAACCTTAAAACATGCAGATATTTTAAACCAAAACACCAAACAAAGCAGAAGACTGAAAGAAGAAATATATAAAATAAAGGAAACGGGGTGCTATGCCACACTCACCCAAGGGTGAACACACAGGCTAAATCTGCATTGTTTAAAATCTACAACCATCCAACAAAGTACTATGTCTAGTTTGGCTCACAGGCCACAAAACATAAAAGGGGAGCTATACTAGCTGGTACTAGACCGCGCACTCGTCTAAACATCACCTGAAAGAAGCATATAAAACATGGGACGACGCCTGGTCAGCGAATAATGCTGGTAACCCACCAATACATGTGAAATATCATACATTGATAAGGTATAAGTTGTAAAGCCATTTTTGAATTGGAATACATACATACATATATATATATATATATATATATATATATATATATAAAAGTCCAAAACCAAAAGTAATAGTCAACACAAGACTCAACACTCTCAACAAGAACACGGGAACACATCCTAAGACTACAAGGAACAACAACAACTCACAAGAAGTTTCAAGGTATAATCTATCATCACACAATTGATTAATACCCGACATGCATAACTCAAAGGAATAAAGACTCAACAAACGGCAACATATGCCAAGGCCACACATGCCTTTGTGACTACACACGTCACAAGAAGAGAACTCACAACAACGGCTACACAAGCCCTCGTGACATCACCCATCACGAGTTGATATGCCTTCCTTATGCCTGATCCCAACCTTATGGCTACCCCCAACCTTATGTCTAGTTCCAACCTTTACCTCCCGGACCCCTGTACACCAAGTCCAACCTTATTTCTCTGCGAACCGTTGTTCCCCCTCCAACAGTCCCTCCAACAGAACCACCGATTTCATAGTACACGAAGGTACCGATCACACACACGGCAACACATGCCTCTCCCAAAACACGTGAACCTTACACAAAGGTCACAACTCCATAATCACGTCATGGCCACCACGAGGACCACTGCAATACCTTGGTGACTAGTGTCCCATACCACTAATCGTGCAATCCAGGTGATGTTATCACATCTTTGCTTGTTTTTATAGTTATTTTGAATCATCTCAGTATTTAAGTTCTTTAATTTTGATTATTTAATACACATTTTCCTTGCTATTATCATTTAATTATGGTTCACACTTGTTTTGAATGTTTTACGGTGTTTGTTAGTGTTTTTGAACCAATTTAGGTCAAAGATATGAGCAAGGGAAGTTCAAGGATGAGTTTTGAGCAATTTTGGACAAGTTCGGGGCCCAGAGGACTCGACGCGTCGAAAATTTCCAGTAGCATCAGAAGTCGAGACCAGCAGGTCTCGACGCGTGGAGAATTGGCTCGACGCGTCGGGCGCAGCAGGTCTCGACGCGTGGAGAATTGGCTCGACGCGTCGGGCGCAGCACGAAGTCGCGAGATATTTGAGTCCAATTTGAGTCCAATTTTGTACCAGATTCCTATTTCGTCTCAACTTTATAACTACTATAAAATCCCTCCTTCCTCAACCCTAAAAAACACACCGGAGAGATTTTGAGAGTTCTTTGTAGACAAGAAAGAGAGAAATCAAGAGGCTCAAGTCGTCTTTGGAAGCAAGGAGGAAGCCAGGGAGATTTGGGAGAATCGCTTGGTTAATTCTTGTACTCTTCTGATGATTTGTAATCCTTTATTCATATTTGCTATGTATAATTTAGCCATGCTCGGCTAAATTCCTTAGGGATTTTTGGGTGAATTTGTTTATGAACCTATGTGCCTAGTTCGTTAATTTCTTAATATATTTATGTTTGGTTTTATGATTTGTGTTGCAATCTTGTTTTAATCTATTGTTGTTGGTGGTTAAAGGCCTAAATTACTAGCTTCACAGTCATGTTTGTGTCACCAATGGGAGTTGGGGCATAAATTAGGGCACACACGATTGCACCTAATGGTTGGTCCTTGGGAAAGGGGAACTAATTAGGGGAAGTTTATTCTATATTATTGCTCATCGGGAGATGGTAGTAATTAGGAATAATTGAATGCTGATCTTTGATCTTATTGGGTGTTTAAGCCATGGGAGTGGAAATTCACTAGGAATAGAGATTACGGGAGTAATTCGATTCCACTTTGCATTCCCACACAAATCTTAATTCCAAACCAAATATTACAAACGTTAATTGGCACTAGGTGATTAAACATTGTGATCCCAAGAATCCTATTTTGCTCTATTGTCTGCAAAACCTTGCTACTTATTTTATTCTGCTTGTTATTTTATGCAATTAATCAACCTTCAAGTTTTGTTCGGACTAGTTTCATATGAGTAACCTAGTAGCTAGTGATTAGTACACCACCTCTCTGTGGTTCGACAACCCGAATACTCCGGGTATTATTTGTTTGCCCCAAATTACAGCAATCAAATTGGCGCCGTTGCCGGGGAGGTGGCGTTACGTACTGACATTAGTGAAAGTCTTACTTTAGGAGTCTAGTTCATTTTCTTATTTATTTATTTATTTATTTATTTATTTATTTTATTTATTTGCTAATCCATAACAAGTTCCTTGTTCTTGAGTGTGATTTTGCTTTGAATCTAAGAACTTGGCTTTTTATGCATACACGATCTCGTGGGAAAGAAGGATTATTACCTTTGAATCTTGAGATTGAGAAAAGAGCCAAGTTTCTTAGGAAACAAACTAGGATGGCACAGGTACAAGAAAACCAAGCTGGAGGGAGATCAATGTCTGACTACCTTGCTCCGGATGTTGAGGAGCATGGTAGCATCAATATTCCAAATGTGGAGGCCAATAACTTTGCGATCAATCCGGCCATACTTAGCATGGCTGCGGCAGATCGATTTAGTGGGATGCCCACGGAAGATCCCAATGCTCACGCCACCAAGTTCCTACGACTTTGTGGCACTTTCAAGATAAATGGAGTCACTCAAGATGCTGTCAGACTTAGGCTTTTTCCCTTTACACTGAAGGACAGAGCTGAAGATTGGTTATCCTCACATCCAGATAACCATTTTGACACTTGGGACAAATTACATGGAGAATTTTTGAAGAAGTTCTATCCTATCTCCAAAACTCAAAGGATGAGAAGGGCAATTCAAAACTTTAAGCAACTGGCAACTGAGTCCCTCACTGAGTCTTGGGAGAGATTTAAGGAATTGAAGAGGCAATGTCCACACCATGGATTTCAGAGTTGGGATTTGATGATGTCTTTCTATGAAGGATTGCTGGATAATTCTAGGATTTTGGTGGATGCTTCTTCGGGTGGTTCGTTCATGATTCTAGAGCCAACACAAGCCGAGGAACTATTGGAGAAAATTGCTATGAATGGATCTACTTGGTACACGGAGAGGTCTCCACAAAAGCTTGTAGGAGGAATTCAAGATGCGGGGCAGTTAGCCGATTTGTCAACAAAGTTGGATAATGTGGTCTCCTTGGTTCAAAAACTTGCCCAAATCACCAGCCAAAATCAAAATTCAGGGGATTGTATCGACGAGTTCAACTCCCAAACCTCTATAGAGCAAGTTAATATGTTGGGATATAATAGGCCTCATCAACAGTCTTACCAACCTCAAGGGACCTACCATCCTAATAATTCAAGGAACCATCCCGGTTTTTCATGGAGCAACCCAGTGGGAGCTGCCAACCCTCAACACTTTGTTAATAGAGGTCCTCTGGGTTATCAAGGTACTCAAGTTCAATCTAAATTTCCCGTTTCAGAGGCCCCACCACAATCGAATACGGACGCTTTGTTGGAAAAATTGATTAAATGTCAGTTAGAGATTACAGAAAGGATGGATAAAATGGAAGCTCGCCAAAATCTGGTTGAAAGGCAATTAGCAAATCAACCTTCTATATCAAGTACTAAAGTCACAGGGAAGTTGCCAGCTATGCCTGAAAATCCAAGGGAGCATGTAAATGCAATTGTTACAAGGAGTGGCAAAATACTTGAAGAGCCACCTCTTCCAATCAAAGCATCAATTCCTAAAAAGACAGTTGAGGAGAAGATTGAAGAGATACTTGATGGTATAGAAGATGAGCCAATTGCTATGCGAAATAATCCACAAGTTCAAAAGGAAGTAGAGAAACCTGTGAGAAGGTATGTTCCCCCATTGCCTTTTCCTCAAAATCGTGAAACAACAAAAGAAAGCAGGTGGAAAAAGTTTTTGGAGATTGTTGAGAGTTTGAAAGTTTCAGTTCCCTTACTTGATTTGCTTTCACAAGTTCCCTCTTATGGAAAATTTTTGAAAGAGATTCTAGCTAAGAAAAAGAAATATGGGGAACGAGAGATGGTAGCTGTGGCTCAAGAGTATCAAGCGTTGACCCCGGGAATTGGGAGGAATATACCTAAGCATAGAGACCCGGGGAAGTTCACAATTCCTTGTGTGATTGGAGGCCGACCTTTAAAGGGATCCCTTTGTGATTTAGGAGCTAGTGTGAGTGTTATGCCTCTTACTCTTTGTCAAGGGTTAGGGTTGGGAGAACCAAAACCAATCCAATTCACCTTAGAAATGGCGGATAGATCCATCGTAAAGCCTATTGGAATTCTTGAAGATGTCCCAGTCCGTGTGGACAAGTATTTTGTGCCTTGTGATTTTATTGTAATAGATGTCCGAAGGAACCTAGACGTTCCACTCATTTTGGGGAGACCCTTCCTAGCCACTATTGGAGCAATGATTGATGCAAGGAAAGGGTCCATGATTTTTGACTTTGGGGAGGAAAAAGTGGAATTTAATGTTCTTGATGAGCCAAAAATCATTGAATGCAAGTCAATCTTGCACATCGATCCTACTCTCAAGGTGACACATGATGAGTATTTGCATTTGAAGAGTCTATGGGGTGATGAGATCAAACTCGCGGATCAACCAGGATGAGCACTCCATAACCAGGTTAGGTCGAGCTAGCAACGTTAAACTTAGCGCTTCATGGGAGGCACCCCATGTTATCTTTTATTTCTTTCATATTTATTGCTTTCTAGTTTAATTTTATTGCTTTCTAGATTCATTTTATTTAGTTTTATTGCTTTCTAGTTCGGGATTATTTTATTGCTTTTTAGTTTTCTCTTTTCTCTTGTTCTACTTTTCTTTTGCATCAGGGATGATGCAAAGTTTTAAGTGTGAGGGGGAGGAATCATGAATTTGGGGATATTTCTAAATTTTTAAAATTTTTGCTTTTGCTTGGATGACTCATATGCTATTTTTGGTGAATAAGTTACTTGTCTTAGCATGCAGTTACAATTATTCTCTCTTGTTGGTTTGTGGTTTGTTTTAGTGGTGCTCGCTGCATCTCAATTTGTGATGGATGATTTGAGGTGTAACACATATTTGATCTATTCCCTTGCCAATAGCTTTGTTAACCACTTAATAATTGGATTAATCCTTGATCTTGTGTTTTGCATTGCTAGTGAAGGCTTATGTGAGATTCCGGTCATGGGTGTTTTTGCTAGAACTTGCCTCATTACTCCCTAAGTGATGT